TGAGAGGAAGAAGGTTTTGGAGTCACCACCAGAGCTGCTGTCATCACTGAGCAGCCCTCTGGTCATCAAGGAGCTCACTAAGGTGAGGAGCACGTGGCCCTTCTGCAGCACTGTGCTGTGAGCACAGCCTGCTGGCCTTGCTGTGCCCTCAGATGCCTTGCATGTGATGTGACCAGCATGCTCACACCTTGCCATCTCCAGGTCTATGACAGCCGGGAATCCCTGCTGGCAGTGGACAGGATCTCTTTGGCAGTCAGCAAAGGGGAATGCTTTGGGCTTCTTGGCTTCAATGGAGCAGGCAAAACCACCACATTCAAGATGCTGACGGGTGATGAGAGCATCACGTCGGGGGATGCCTTTGTGGATGGCCACAGCATTCTGGCCAACATCAAGAAGGTACTGAGGGCTGCAGGGGCAGCGTTGTGTCCTACGTCTGCCTGGGCTGGGCCCCTTGTGAGTACCCCCAGGGAGGGCACAGCTGCAGGTGCCAGGGGCGATGTGGTGCACCAGGGATGTGGTGTTCTGATCTGGCCCAGCTTTTCCTGTTGATCTGGTCACTTGAAAGAAGTCCTGTGGAGAAGAGACTAGCAGATATGAAACAAAGGGAAACCTCACAAACCTTGTGGGGGTGGCAAAGGCTTTGTTAAAACTGTTCGGCTTTCTAAATGGACATGTGGAAAATGTGATCTAGTGCTCACAGTCAGATGATGGTATCCCTACAAGCAAGTGAGATTTCCAGACCCCTGACAGCTCTCTCTGCTGAAAATTGCCCACTCCCTTTGGCAAGACCAGAGATGAGTCACAAACTGAACCACCCCGAGCATGGATCAGGGTTTTGATTCAATCCCTGGATGCATGCATCTCTGTCAGCCCTAAGCACCCTGTGATATTGAGCCCTTAGCAAAGCTCCATGGCTACCAGTGAGCCTCTCCCAGTGCAGAGCTGCAGCTGAGCCAGCCCTTCGGCTTCTTCCTGCTCCCAGGTGCAGCAGCGGATCGGCTACTGCCCTCAGTTTGATGCCCTGCTGGAGCACATGACGGGCCGTGAGACGCTCAGCATGTACGCCCGGCTGCGGGGCATCCCTGAGCGCTACATCGGCAGCTGCGTGGAGAACATGCTGAGGGGGCTGCTGCTGGAGCCCCACGCCGACAAGCTAGTCAGGACCTACAGGTGAGAGGAGGCTCCAGGGAGTGAAAGCCCCCCCCCCAACTGGGGGATTCTGCCGTGCCTGGCTTTCCTGTGCTCAGTGCTCCCCTCTCTCCCCCACAGTGGTGGTAACAAGCGGAAGCTGAGCGCTGGCATCGCCCTTATTGGTGGCCCCCCCGTTATCTTCCTGGATGAGCCCTCCACTGGTATGGACCCTGTGGCCCGGCGTCTGCTCTGGGACGCAGTGACTCGGACACGGGAGTGTGGCAAATCCATCATCTTCACCTCCCACAGGTGAGTGTCCCAGCAGCGCCCGGCCCCAGAGCTGGTGAGTCGGAGCTGGGGGTCCTGCTGCCCCCACCCCGCTGAGCAATTCCCTCCCATCCCACAGCATGGAGGAGTGCGAGGCGCTGTGCACGCGGCTGGCCATCATGGTGAACGGGCAGTTCAAGTGTCTGGGCAGCCCCCAGCACCTGAAGAGCAAGTTTGGCAGCGGCTACACTTTGCTGGCCAAAACGCGGACTGATGAGGAGGGCGAGCTGCAGGCCTTCAAGGCCTTCGTGGAGAAGACTTTCCCAGGTACCCTGAGCTGCTAGACAGGGTGTGTACGTGAGCTTCCCCCATTTCCCAGCTCACAGCCTCTCTCTGCTGGTCTCTCGCAGGCAGTGTCCTGAAGCACGAGCACCAGGGCATGGTGCACTACCACTTGACCAACAAGAACCTCAGCTGGGCGCAGGTAAGGGATGCTGGAGCACCTCTGATAGAGAAGGGAGGGGAGGAGGGGGAGTGGCCACTTCCCTTAGCATGTGCACATCCCAAAGGCTCAGTGGTGATGGAAGGGCTGTGTTTGCTTGTTGCATCCTTCCCAACCCCTATCTCCCTCCTGAGAAGCACAGTGCTGGTTCTGAGTGGGCACAGAGCCACCTGAGCCTGCTGGACCCCAGCCCAGGGGATGTGTGGTTCTGAATGGAGTTGGACACCCTGCCCTGTGGTATCCATGGGGAAAGCTTGGCTCCCACGCTGTGGGTACCTGACAGTAACTGATGCTGCTCTGCCATTCCCTGCAGGTCTTTGGGGCCTTGGAGAAAGCCAAAGAGAAGTATCGCTTAGAAGACTATTCGGTTAGCCAGATATCCCTGGAGCAAGTCTTCATGAGCTTCACTCGCTTCCAACACTACACAGAGGACAGAGGGAAATGAGCAAAAGCCCTTCACGTCCTCCTTCACGGACTGGCCCCGCCGCCTATACATAGTATATATAGAGACAGTAATTTATATATCAGCGTGTGTCTTAAATAATGTATAAATGTAAGAAAATTTTCACTGGGGAGGGGGGAGAGGATGGAGCCGTACCTCCTGCTATTGGGAGCACAGGGCTGCGTGTGCATCGGCTGCCAGCGCACACATGTCAATGAGTGTGTGTGTCTGACACTTCCACCCGCGTTTGTCCCCATCTGTGGCAAAAAAAACAAAGCCCTCAAAAGCAGGGGAAGGGGTGGCTGGGTGCTGGTGGGTGCTGCAGGCTGCGCCGGAGCCTCAGGTCCCCGTGTCCCCCCACCCTGCCCCTCGTCACGCACAGTGGGAAGCGGCTCTGTGGTCTCCACGCGCACGTCGAGTTGTGTTCTGTGAGGTGGTTTGCTTGTGGTTTATCAGGGTGCTGTCCAATAGCTTAGATCCAGAATGTTTGCTGGGTTCATGGGGATGCACTGTGCCAGGGGGAGGGGACGCAAAACCCCCATCCCAGCCTTAATGGCACGGAGATGCAAGAAGGGAAGCTGGCACAAGCAGCGTATGCTGATTGTTCCCTTGACACCAAAACCCCCAGTGCCACCGTGCCTGGCTGTGTGACAAAAGGGAACCTGAAGAGCTCCTCTTGCCTCCGCTGCTCAAAAGTAGGGGCAGAGGGAGCCTGACACAGCCCCGCTGTGCTGGGAGAGGCTGTGCTAATGGAGCAGGGCCTGGCAGTGATGAATCACAGCCCGGGGCTCCGTGTGTGGGCAGCAGTGTTTGGAGGTGCAGCCTGCTGGCTCGGCACTGCATCCATTATAGCTTTAAGCAACAGCACTGCCCTGCAGCGTGTTCTGCAGCACTGCAGCACAGCCTGTGCCCACGTTGCTCCCTGTCCCCCCACCCCACGCTGCCCTGGCTGTGCACAGTGCCCAGAGGCAGCACCCAGGATTTATTTTCAATGTCTCCCAGCGTTTGCGTTGCTTTTCTGTTTGTTTGTTTTCTGTACATTCTGGTTGATTCTCATCTGTCTCTAACTGGTCCCTGTGTCACCTGCGGGCAGTTCCCTCCAGCTGCTCCGTGATCAATGCAGAGCTATTTGCACTATAGTACTACACACAATTGCACATACTAAATGAATTAATATTTATGGCAGGGGGTGCTGATTCCCTCCCTGTGATTGCATTGTCGGGTTGGGGTGTCCTTTGGGTTGGGTTTTTGTTCTCTTCCTGTAACTGAATCATCCTTTCCTGTTCCATATTTTTTTTTTTTTCCCTCTGCCTAATGTTGTTTAAAAATAATGATGGTGCATCATGTTACTAAGAGTTTCCCCGGATCTTCAGGAGGTGTGTGGTTATTAGCAAGCAGCCAGCAGGGAAGCACGGCCCATGGGAGCCCCTGGGACAAGAACTGTGCGTGCTGCAAGCATCCCTGTGCTGTGGGGGGGGGGTGATGTGGGAGGGCAGTGCAAGGAAAGCAACGCTGCTTTCTCTTGGGTCCAACAGGAAGGCTGGGGTCCTCTGTACAGGGCAAGGGCAGGATGCAGCAGGGCTGCTGGGGCTTTGCCTTGCACAGGGGCAGCAGGGGGAAAGCAGGAGCAGGGGGGTTGTGTGGGCTTATGGGAGGTACTGCCAGGCATCTGGGTACCAATCCTCCATCCTGGCAGCCCGGTGTCTCTCTTTGCTGTAGCACCAGCCTGCACTGGGACTTGCTGCACGGGGGCACGGTCAGCATGCAGCACTGCTGTTGTGGTCCCAATCCTGCCCCTCCTGCAGCACCATCTGGAAAGCCTGGGAAAGGGTTGTGGCTGCTGTGCCAGGCTGCCGTACGGTTGTTCCCACCACAAGAATAAAGCTTTCCTTTTTTTCCAGCGGGTGTTTTCTGGCCTCCTTCACATTCAGCGAGCGGCTTCCTACCCTGCGGGCTGGGTCTGGGAAGGGCCTGATAGGGCTCCAGCAAAAGGAGTCAGCATGGACAGAGCTGCAGTGGGGCCCTTCGTGGAGCGCATCCCCTACAGAGGCTGTGCTGCAGGGCCGCTCCCGGCCCCCTCCTCCCACTTCCTTACCCCTATGGGGACCGCAGAGATAACGTGGGGCTGCAGAGATAGCAGAGCCCTGCACAGCTCCCAGCCGCGATGCTCAGCCCCCCCGGCAGCAGCACCTCCAGCTCCACGGGGCGGTGGCAGAGGGACGATCCGAACCTCTCCATCTCCGCACCCCTCCGCTGGGTCACCAATGCTCCACCGGATCCAAACGCTCCCCGGCCGCAAGCCTCTCAACCACAGGCAGTTTCAGCGCTTTATTGTCTGTCCTGCTACAGTCACCCGCTGTCCTCCAGCAGGGAGGGGGTGGGGGAGTGAAGCCGCCCGCACGCCCCGCAGTGTCCCGGAGCTGCAGCGGCCTCAAAACTGGCACTTAAGGAATCCCGGCCGGGGCCGCACGCAGCTCCTCCGCCCCGCACCGGGCATGGCTGTGGTCCGCTCCCGCTGTCCTCGGGGCTGGCAGAGGGGCACGGGCTGCTGTCGGCTTGAAAAAGGTGTTTAAATACCACTGAGCGTGGCGTCCGACCGGAGGCTCTTGGCTTTGTGGTTTGTTATTGTTCGTTTTTTGTTTGGTTTTGTTTTTTTTTTATCGGTTTTTTTTGTTTTGTTTTTTAGAAAAGGAAAAAAAAAAAAAACAGTGAAAAAGACCGTCTTCCCTTTTATGAGCAGTTTTTAAACTGTGGCCAGAAATCGCTGTGCCCACCAGTCCTCCAGGTCAATGGGAACAAAGTCTGAAAGAGAGGGGAGGGAGAGAAGGGAGAGCAGCTGGAGAGGAGCACAGCGTGTTCCCACCAGCACCGGCCATTTACCACTGGGAAAAACACCCCTCTGACCCCCACCCCTCCCCAGCTCCCTGCCCCAGGGAACGGCTATGGGCATTTGCTCTTCTTGGGGACATTCTCACTGCTCAACCCAACACTCTGGCTGCCTTTACATCCCCGCTGTGCCTTCATCCTGTGTGCCCAGGGCAGCAGAGAGCAGAACTGGGGGTGTTGGTATGACCCCACAGCCAGACCCCACCACACAGTGCTGGGCTCACCCACCCAGCCCAGGAGCACTGACACCCAATGTCCCACTCACCTGGGCTCTCCATGTGACCCCCCCACTACAGCACCCACCCCCAGCTGGAGACAGCCCTGCTATGGGCTCCCCCAGCTCCTGCTCCCCCTCCACGTTCCCCACTCACCTTTCAGCTTGGGGTCCGGGGTTTTCTCTACGTACTGCACAGGCCCACGGGCGCTCTCCCCCCTCTGCCCCCCGTCCAGCTGCTGCTCTACCTCCTGCCAGGCTGTGAATGGAGGGCTGTGGGTGAACCCCAGGGCAGGCAGCACCCTGCAGCCCCCTCCCCCTCCCCTCCTGAGCCCCTCACACCTTCGTAGATGAAGCGGACGTTCTCCTCGTGTGCAGCTGTGTAGCTCTCCTGGGGCACAGAGGTTTGTGACAGCAGCACCTGAGGCCGTTTGCCGTTCACTCTGTTGAAGATGAGCTTCTGGGCTGGGCTGGGGAAAGTGGGGATTGAGGGGAGAAGGACAACTTGGGGGCACACAAGGAGCAGGGCATCCCCATCACCTGCCACACAGCCCTTCTGTGCCACCAGCCTGGCGCTGTCCCATCATAACCACCCCACTTCAGCAGAGGGGAAGGATGGACCAACGGACACAGCTGTCCACCAGGTTGCCCCCAGTGAGGCCACCACACTGGGCAGTCCCCAGCCCCTACAGCCAACCAAAGACACGTACTTTCCAGACTCCAGCTCTACTCTGGATGGAGGCAGCAGGAAAACAGCCCAAAAATAACGGGGAAAAAAGCAGATCAGGATGCACAGTGCCCTCCCCACGTGCCCTGCAGGCTGCCCAGCTGGGGACACAGCAGCTGTCACAGCTGCTACATGGGAACCCCACAGCTGCTGCTGCTCTGCACAGCTCAGAGCCAGAGTGCTGCAGGTGCACAGCTCTGCCCAACACAAGGGAAACTGAGGCACGGGGGTGGGACATGGGCCTGGTGCACAAGCAGTGCCAGAGCTGTGGGGCAGCACAAAAGCAGTGCGAGGGCAGCAACAGAGGACAGCCCTGCACCAGGGGAGCAGCTCAGGGGCTGCCTCATCCCACACACCCCTCCAGGAAAGCTGCTGCCCAAACGGCACGTGGGGCAGCGTGCAGCAAGACGAGGTGAAACCATCGGCATGGAACAGAACCCGTGTGTAGGGTCTGCATGGAGCCACGGGCACAGCTGTGGGGCAGGAGGAGTCCGGGAGTCACACCGCTCACGGGACAAAGTCTGAGAGGCCCTGGGAGCGCGGGGGGAGGTGTGCGGGGCAGCGGGGTCGGGCGGTGCCCCCCCAGCCACCAACCCCACCCTGCCACTACCGCTGCCCTGAGGCGGGGGGGGGGATGCTCCAGCCGACGTGCGTGATGTGGGGCGGGGGGTACCGGGGGGAGGCATTTCTTGGTTGTGCCCTGAAGGCAGAGGAAGGGGGTCAAGGCTGCCCCGTGTCCACGGACGTTTGGGATCGGGGACGGGGAAAACCCCTACACAGGGACACGGCCCCCTCCCCCCGCCTCCGGGACCCCCGGACTTCATTCCTTCTGGCCCCTCGCGTTGTGCATGGCGGGGAGGTACAGCTCCGGGCACAGCGCAGCGAGACGGGCTGACACGGGAAGAGCCCCGCCGTGCGGTCCCACCGCCGCCCCTGAACTTTTGCGGCGATGCACAACTCCGGGGGGAGGGAGGCGGGGGAGGTGGGGCGGGGGGGTTTGAGGCCTGCGGGGAGCGCACGGACACGGGCACACGGACATACGGACACACGGGGTCCCGCGCAAAGCTCGGGGCCCTGCAGGGCGCACAGCTGCGCTGCGGGACTGCGCCCGCGGGGCTCCGCACGGGGTCTGGACAAGGGGGGTTGCGGGGTGGGGGGGGCACAGCAGTAGGGCCACCCCCCGCCGCCCTCCTCCGGACCCCTCGGCGGACTCCGGGCGGTGGTTGCGGTGCCCGTCCCCGCCCCGGGGCCCTCCCCGGAGCCGCGCGGCCGCGGTCACCTTTCCCCAAGGTCACGGCGCGGCGCGGGGCTCACCAGGCGGGGGGCCAGGCTCCGGGCTGCAGCCGGCCCCGCGGCTCGCCCACCTTGCTCTCCACCGGCTGCTGCGTGGGACCTGCAGGGGGGGGGGGGGGGGGGGGGGGGGGGGGGGGGGGGGGGGGGGGGTGCAGGAGTCAGGGCCGGGAGGAGCGGAGCTGAGCGTGCGCCCCGCGGTGCCGCTCCCCCCGACCCCACACTCGGTACCTGTGCGGCGCTGCGTGGCCAGCTTGCTGGGGCCGCGCGTCAGCGTGTACATCGTGCGGCCCCTCCGGCACCGCACGGCACGGCCCCGCCGCTCCCGCCGGCCGAGTGCACCCCACTCCTCGTGCCGGCCCTTTAACGGGCCCGCGGCACGCCCCCTGCCTTAAAGGGACCGCGCCGCTCTCGTGGGGGGGACGCGTGGAGGGGGAGAGACGCGTAGGGATCGTTAACGCGTGGGGCGCGGCGGGGGTGCGGGGTTGTGGGGTTTGCGGGGCAGCCCTCTGCCCGTCGTGGGACGCGGTGTCACGCGGGGTGTGTAGGACGTGGTGCGGGACAGAGGGCGCGCGGCCATGGTGACACGTGGGGCGGAGGAGGGAGCAGAAACGGGCTTGTGACAGGCGGGAGCTTTGCTCAAGGTGAGCACGCAGGAGCAGGGTGACACGCAAGAGGGCACAGGAGGGACGCACGGCGCCGTGCCGGGGGGCACAGGGGGAGGTGCCGGGGCACGGCAAAGGCGGGGGGCTGCGCCTCGTTTTGCGGGGCTGAGGCGGTGCCAGCGCCCCTTATTCCGCGTCGGGGGGACCGTGCGAGGAGACCGCCGGGGCCTTCCGTTCGGGAAAGGACCGTAGCGATCCCCGAGCGGCGGCAACGCGCCCCGAATGGCAACGGGCGGCAGCGCGTGGTGACCTTCGGACGGGGCGGTGCGCGGAGATCCGCACGTGGTCGGGAATGCGGCGCCTGACGGACGGTGCCGGCGCACAGCCCCGCTCCTCCGGCTGCGGTGGGGCCGAGAATCAGCGTGACCGTGACCCTGCAGCCATCGCTGCTCAGATGGCCGTGCGTCAGTTTCCCTATCCGAGACAGCAGCAGGCTTCCCCCGGCGTCTGCATGCACATCGCCGTGCTTTTCTCACTTCGTTTACGACGTAGGAACACGAAACACAACGCCGGGGCTGCGCCCGCGCCCCGCGCACACCGTGCGTCCACTGAGATGCTACGAAGGGAGCGGGGAGCGGCAGAACAGCAGCGCCGCTGGTGTAGTGGTATCATGCAAGATTCCCATTCTTGCGACCCGGGTTCGATTCCCGGGCGGCGCACCGTCTTTGTTACACTCTTAAAACTATATTTTCTCTCTTTGTTTTCTTTTCCTTTTTAATTTTTTTTCTTTTTTTTTTCAAGCAAATCGCTGCTTTTCATCCCATTCTGAGCCCTGGGCATGGCGGCTCTCACGACGAAGAGGTGGCACCCCGGTCCTGGGGGGCTGCGGTAATGCGGGGGGGTCTCTGCGCTGTGCCTCCGCACCGCCCGGCCCACCGCGGGGCAGAGAATGACGGGACGGGGGGGGGAAACGGCTTTAAAGTAAAAAAAAGGCAGATTCGGATGGGATGTGAGGTGGAAATTTTTTACTCAGAGGATGGAGAGGTGCAGGCACTGCTGCACAGAGCATCCGCGGAGGGGACATCTGTCATGGATGGGTCCTGGGCATCCTGAGCTGGGAAGGGGGCAGTCAGCCCATGGCATGGAACCTGATGGGCTGTGAGGGCCCTTTCAACCCGAACCATTCTGGAATTCTGATTCTGGGATTCTGCCCCTTGTTGCCAACCAGACAGCCAAATTACCTGGGTTCTCCACTTGGGTACTTTTATTAAAAAAAAAAAAATCCACAATATTCTGCTCTCACATGGTGCCACATGGCTCCTCCTGCTGCAAAACGATTGTCAGCACTGCAGCACCCACCGAATGGCAAAGCAGAGGTTGCCCTCTCACTAAGAGCACATGTGCAAAGGCAATGCTGCTCCATGGGATGTGCAGCACAGCCCAGCACCATGCCCTGCTCCCAGCCCTACATCTTGCCCTGCTCCCAGCCCAGCACCATGCCCTGCTCCCAGCCCTACATCTTGCCCTGCTCCCAGCCCAGCACCATGCCCTGCTCCCAGCCCTGCACCATGCCCTCCTCCCAGCCCTACATCTTGCCCTGCTCCCAGCCCGGCTGCTGCATGATGTGCACAGGCCTCAGTCGCACCCAGATGTCCATTCCAGGGATTGCAGCACCGTGCTGGAAGGGATCATTTTCCATTGATGAAACAAAAATAAACGCAGGCTCTTAAGTGGGGAGGAATTCCTCACCAAGAAATATTGCCCTTGGAGCAGCCTGGTGCAGAGGGGCAGAAATAGCTGCCCGCAGTGAGGCACAGCCATGTCCTTCCCACATCACCACGCCAGGAGCCTCACCATAAATGTAATCCCTGGGCTGGGGCAGAGGTTCAGTGTGCAGGCTGAGGGCCCTCTCCATATCCCCATATTCGGGGCTGAGGATCCTGAAGCCAGCTGGGACAGGTCTGGAGGTGCCCTGTGCAATGCTGAGCTGCCATCCCTCCATGGTGGTGTTGCAAGCACAGCCTTATTATGAGACAACAGAGATCCCACCTGGGAGATGCTGCTGGCAGCCGAGGCTCTGGGTGTGGGAGCATCCCCTGCCTGGGGGTGATGTGGGGCTGTTCCCCAAGCAGAGACTGTGCAAGGGAAAAGGTGGACACAAGTGAGGAGGGATCAGCATTATGGTGTGTGCCGTGAGCCCTGCATAGGGCTGCTTTGGCCATGTGCCCCAGGACCAGAAATGGTGCTGTGGGCTGGGGAAAGCACTCCTGCATCACTCCCAAAGCACTGTGGAGGAGCAGGGCACAGAGGAGAGGATCCTCTCAGGGGTTGTGGCTCTTCTTGGTTGACCTCTGTGCAACAGGGATGGGGAGAGGGGCTGGGGGGCAGCAGGCAGCCATGGCTCGGACTGCAGCTCCAGCTTCATGTCCTGGAAACTGTAGGCTGTGGATGGCCACATCTCCCCTCAGAGCTGTGTGGGCTTCAATCACAGCCTGAGGCAGAGGTAGGGGGGGACATGGGGGGCTGTGAGTCTGAGCAGCCTACCTGGAGCTGCTGGTGGCCTTGTCCATCCTTCCAACCCTGTGTGCACTGCACATCCTACACACACTGCCCACAGCATGCAGTTGAGAAGAGTCCTAAAGTGGAGGATGAAGGCAGTCCTGGGAGACAGGGCAGCACTGGGGAGCCCTGAGGGTGAAGCTTCTGCCTGCACATCCATCCATCCACCCATCTGTCTGTCCATCCATCTATCTGACCAGCACCCCTCTCCCCCGCAGCAACCCTGCTGGTGGTCTATGGGCCACAGTGCTGCTGCAACTGCTGGTGGAAGCCAGAGAGATGGGGGGTGCTGGGCTCCAGGAGGTGGTCCTTGTGCTGGCAATGCTCCCCCAAGCCTGCAGGTGCTTTCAGGTAGACACACTGGCCAACAAACACCAAGAGCCTCATCTTCCACAGGCTGTGACACACCACACCTGGTGGCACTGCCTGGAACAGAGAGGGGGCAGGGCACATCACACCATGCAGGAAAGGAGCAGTGTCACGCATGCAGTGCTGCACCCACAGCGCCTGGTTGATGGCTTGGGGTCCATCTCCTCTGGTTCCATCAGAACCAGATGATGCTGTGGGCTTCAGTGCTGTGGGATGGGTATCACGGGGTGGGGAGGTCTGGGCAGACTCCTCTGCAATCCCACCTGCTTCTTTATTGCTGCTGTCTGGGCTGGGGGTACACGGGGTGGCAGTTACAGGGGCGGAGCTGCAGAATGCTGATCGTCATCAATAAAAGCTGTGGGCTCAGATGGGTTCCCCTGGGGTCTGCAGCCCCTGAGTCCACGTGGCCCGGCCCTAATCCTGGAAGCGGTTGAGGAGGTCACAGGTTTTCTTCTCCATCAGCTCATAGATTTTCTTCACCCTCTTGTCGTTGGCCGCCCGCACGTAGCTGCCGGGGTCCAGCGTGGCCATGCCGTCGTGCACGGCGCCCATGATGATGAGCGGCCCGTCCTCGGCTGTCATGTTGGGGCAGGGGCAGCTCCAGTCCATGTCGACCAGCGTCACCTCCAGGTACTTGATATTGAAGAACTTGAGGCCCATCTTCTCGTCCTTGAGGACGTCCTCGAGGGCGAAGCGGGCGATGCCGGAGTCCTGGTCCTCCACGATCTCCATCAGCCGCCCCACGATGGCGAAGTCACTGCGGCAGAGGCTCAGCACCATCTTGCTCTTCAGGCGGCAGGCCTTGCACTGCAGGCTCTTGGGGAAGGGGCACACGTCCTCGCACGTCTCCTTGCTGTCAAAGTTGTTGTTGTTGCCCTCGCAGCCGCCGTAGACGAAGGAGTGGCACTGCTTGAGGATGTAGTTGTAAGCCCAGCGCGGCTCCCAGTTCTGGCAGGGTCCCTGCACCATGGGCAGCAGGCAGGTGGGCCGGGCGCTGCCCACGCAGGCGGCGCGGCACTCCTCGTACGTCTCAAAGTGGTTCCTGTTGGCTCCGCAGCCGCCGTAGCGGAAGGTGACGCAGGAGCCCTGCTTGGCATCGAAGTGCCAGCGCACCTCCGTGGCCTCGCAGCGCCGCCTGTCCGGCTCCTTCAGGCACTCGGCGCTGGGGAAGGGCTGGGGGCTGCCGGGCCGTGGGGCCGCCCCGGGTTCACGCTTCAGCACCGACAGCGGGAAGTCGGCGCGCAGCAGCCCCGCGGCATTGCGGGCCGTGCAGGTGTAGATGCCGGCGTCCTCGTGGCGCGCGTTGTAGATGACCAGCTGCCCGATGTTGGTGACCACCACGTTGCCGTACATCTGGTCCGGCCGCATAATGAAGTTCTCGGCGCGCTCGCTCTGCTTCTCCCAGGTGATGTCGGGTCGCGGGCGGCCGCTGACGTCGCAGCGGAAGCTGACGGTGCCGCCGGCACGAACCGACTGGTGGAAGGGGTTGCTGTACAGCGCGGGGGGAACCGGCAGCTCGGGGCCCACTCCCGGGGTGGGCCGGGCCGTGGTCTCACGTGGCACCGGGCTGGTGTCGGGCCAGGTGAAGATGTGCTTGCACGGCACGGTGGTGAGGCGCGTGCCACGCAGGCAGGCCTCGGCGTCCATGTAGCACTTGTTGTAGTAGGTGAGGCCGTCGGAGGCGCAGGTGAAGTTGGGCTCCTTCTCGCAGCGGTCCTTGCACTTGCAGACCGGCTGCCCGTCCCAGATGTCGCAGTCGGAGCCCTGCTGGGCGCACACGAAGCTCTCGCAGGACGGCCCGCGGCC